ACAGTGTGTTCAACAGCAGTTCAATTCTGTGCAATCTTTTGCGTAATGGGTATTTTTTCCACCCTAAGAGCTGTTCCTATGGTGTGATTGGTCGGTAGGTGGCTGTGCTTATGGGTATTGTAGCGGGTGTCATGGAAACAGAAACACACAAAAAAGCCATTTGGAGGTTTGCTGAAAGTAGAAGTTGTAAAAGCCCTATTTCACCAAAATCAATAATACAAAGAAAATATTCAATAAAAATAGGGGTGTAACTGATGTAAAAACATTTGTATTGGTATCAGCTAAAATATAGCTTTTCAAACATATAGTCTTTAGATAATGATATCGAACCACTGGCCATCATAAAACTCCAAATGCACTCGCACAAATCTTTATCAAAATGCTTAAAAACAACACATTTAAAGCACGATTTAACCATCACTCTAGAGCTGTTTTGTAGTCTACAATTATATCGCATTGCAATTGACACTACGGCCAGATCTAATTATAGATCCTCATCATTCTGTCCATCTATTCATTCAATCAGCCTCTTGTCACGAAGAATGGAGCAGGTGGACCCAAACGCAGTAGAGAGGATCGTAACAGAACAAAACTCAGGACCCAACAGAGACTGGACTGAAAACCAGGACTTAAGTACAAACTCACAACAAACACTTGAGGCTCAGGTGATAGGGAATGAGGTGATTGGCAGGGGAAAATCTCCTGCGGAGCAAGTGGCCTGGGGCCTGAGCAGGGGTGGAGCAAGAGGCGTGAGGTGGATGGCCCTTGGGGGCTGGGGCCGATGGGTGTTACTGACTTGGAGGAATAAACACAGCAAACCAACATGTTGTCACTTCCAACTTGTCAAATACTGATGCTTGGTCAGTGGCCCTAAACCTCAAATATATGACGCCCTAGGTACGCCTCTAGCGTCTGCTTTGGACGTGTCAGGGCCAGTGTGTCAGTTCAAAATAAACAAAACCACTTAGTTAGGTTTAGGCTACATCCACACTAATGCGTTTCCGTTTAAAACCCGGGTTATAAAACGATCTACGTCCACACGGGCGTTTCAGCATTGTTTTAGAAATGATTTCCATACATACTGGCAAACCTGAAAACTAGTGCTGGGCAAGTTACATTACAGTCATTTAGCAGACGCTTTTATCCAAAGCGACTTACAGTTCAGAGTCTATCACATTTCTACACCGTAGGCACAGCTACGGGAGCAATTTTTTGGGGTTAACGCATTTTTGAAATTTATGATAATTTTTTATTTTTTAAAAATTTTTTTAAAATTGAAAGACAAGAGACAATGCATATACATAACAACAAGAGGATGACAAGAACAGTGGGATAAAAGCCAGCAAACATCCTATAGTCAGTTGTGTGTGTGAACGTGTGTGTGTGTATGTCCTTGAGCCTTTTGAGATGGGGAAAAAAAAAAAATAATAATTAAAAAACAACAACAAAAAAAAACAGGTACGTATTTTTAATTTATTATTATTGTAACAGACTCATGTTTATCGTTTTGTATTGGAGATGATATGTCCCTTCAGGGTTGCCGTAGAGAAAAGGTGACTTCCGCTTCTGGTCGAGGGGGGGGCAGAAATAAAGAGAGAAGCTGCACCAGCTGTTGCTCTCCCTGGAGACTACTGGACATCGCTGCGGTAAAGTCAGCAGACACTCAGATCTCCGTGGTCAACTCAGCAGACACTTACATTTTAGTGCACCTACAGGTACTGTATATGCTGAAATTCACGGTAAACGCATTTAAACGGCACAGATCGGGAGCGAGCGAAGGACTTTGAAAGTTAGCGGAAAGATTAACGTGAGACAACATCCGGTTTCTTCAGACAAACATCCGGTTTTCAGAATAAGATGCCAACAAAGTATGAATTATATTCACATTAAGTATGAAACATGCTACCTGCATCTCGTGAACCAAATGCTATTGCCCTTTTGTTCATGTAGCAGTACTTTTAAAATAAAAGTGCGCAATACACTACTTTTGTTGAATTCATTATTGAACTTTGCCATAACAATGCGATTAATTGCAATTAATCGCAAAAAATCCATGCGATTAATCGCGATTAAATATTTTAATCGTTGCCCAGCACTACTGAAAACGCATGGCTATTCACATAAACTGGGCATGTGGGTGCCAGTGTAAACAGGAAGTAAATGGTTGCTTAGTTACAGACAAGAGTATTATAGTACTGTTTAATAATAAAAGGCTGTGCTTGATACTTAAGATCTTCCCCTATAATCGTCTTATATAATCTTCCTCTATATACTCAAACAGACCAATTTTATTTTTCAAACTTAGTTACAACGCTGCAGGTCTTTCTCTATCTCACACACACACACACACACATACATTAAATGTACTTTAAAATGAACCCTTAAAATTTAAAGTTGACTAAATTATGGGTCAATAAATTTGGTTAACACACGTCTCTCACTCATTTCCCCGGTTTTGTTATTTGTAGCTCTGCTGGTGGCTAAAGTCCCTGTCGTACTGGAGAACATGCTTTTGTTCATTTACAGTTTGTTTGTAAACTTCACAATAGTTGTGCAGAACAAAATAAGCATTAATATGAAAAGGATAGTCCTCCGTTCTGTGTCGATCGCCCTCCTTAAAGCCGAAAACCGTGTCTTCAAATGTCCGGGCTGTCTACGTCCTCGTTTTCAAAGGTCTATGTTTTCGCCTGTCCAAACTACAAGGTAACCCTGGAGTTTTCAAACTAAATTAGTGACAGTAGCGTTGCCAAACCCCTCCGTTTTCGGGGTGGTTAAAACTCCGGAGTAGTGTGGACGCTAGGTGTTAACGTAGCAAATGATATGCTTTTTAAAATGGAAATGTAGTACTCACTATCAAGTGACAAACGAGTCACGTGACCAGCAAACTGACATGACAAAATGTCGGCATCTACTTTTAGTTTTGCACTGGACACTAACAGCGGTCTCCTGGATGAAAGTCCTGTGTTGTCCTTGTTTAACCAAGGTGCACTGACCAAGTGGCGGTATTTGATGAGCTGGGAATGACAACGGTTGGGCTGTGTGAGTTCGGACCGGTGTGAAAACAAAGACTACAGGCAACTTAAATTTCTATGATGCCAGATCAGTCTTTCAAAGACTCAGTCCAGTATTCACAAAAAGTCGGAAGCATGCGAACACAGAGCCAGAATGTGACCCTTCTTACTGTCGGACACCCAGAGCCCTTACTATCCAGGCAGCCACAAAATACACTTCTCAATTCTCCGTCATACAATCAGTCAACCATCCCTTTATCCTGACCGTCCAACCTCATTAATCTAGTCTTCTATCCCTTTCGTTCCATCCCTTCGTCTCCACCCAACCATTTTATCCTCCATTCATTGCGAACAGAAGACATACATTATCTGAAGTGAAACAGAATGAATAAATAAGTGGGGGGCAGTTGGACCAGGCACAGTGTACTACTGTATATATTATTTAATTCCACTCTCTCTCTCCCTCTCTATCATCTCTGGCTTCTCCAGCTCCACAGATAAAGCACCATGTAGAGTGGTAAGAGCTCCATCAGCCATGCAGATGAGCCCCGCTTCCTTTACCTTAATTAGAGCTCCCGGGGGACTGGCTGTGGGTGCCGAGCAGCATCAGCCTCTCAAGCCACAGAGATATACCTTTCATCAATCCAGAGAACACCAGAAGGGAAAACTGACATGGGTACAGCAGCTCAGGCACCACACAAAAGAGGTTTTAAAAGCAGTCATTATTGGGAAATGTTCCAGCATGTTATTCAAGGCTGGTCATTTCACTGTCGGAACAGAAACTAAAATCTAACCGAGAGGAGAGAAACAATGGCTCTAGCATTCATGCAAACGTATACATAGACATATCTTTGAGAATTTTTGGAGTTCAGCCAGTTGGAGCTGTAACAATTAGTTAATTAATAGCTGATTAGTTGATGAGCAGAAAAGGAATCTGCAACAATTTCAATCATCAATTAAATAGTTTGGGTCATTTCTTTATGCAAAGATTTCCCAAATCAACAGCTTCCAGTTTCTAAAACGTGGATATTCGCTGCTTTTCATAGACTTCTATAAAAGTGAATTTAATATCTTAATTTCAATATCTATCTTTTAACTGACTGAAGAATCATCACTGTCAATATTAAGACAAAAAACTATATTTGTACTATTTTCTGACATTTTATTGAGCAAGTGATGAATCAATTATTTTGATAATGAATTAAATACTTAAATAATTGATAGTATGCATAGTGCATTATTTTTAGTCAATTGTATTTTTCTCAAGGTTTAAAGCTGTGATGTTTCGAAACACAGGTGTAAGAAAGACAAAGAATGAGACCTATTAATGATTAAAAGATAGATATTTGAAAATTCAATTATTTTTCTCCATAAATCAAAATTTCTTCGGTGAATATCTGAATTATAAAAAGAAAATCGGGCCGCTTTCATTATCGAATAATCAGCCACATATTTTCAAATTAATCATTTGGTCTATTAAACATCAGATAAGTTCAACAGACGTACGTCAATAAATTACTTTTTTGTCCAACTGTCTAAAATACAAAAACAATCAGTTTACATGAATCACATTTGGAGCATTTTTTATTGATTATCAAACTAATCCAACTAACTTTCTGATCTACAGTTAGACCAACTGTTAAAATGCTTTTATTCAAATATTTAATACAATTGTATTTTATTTACGACTATCATAACATTTGCAAATTCGCAAAAAAAGAAAAGAAAAGAAAACTGTCACATGACTAAACTTGTAGTCTATAAACCAAACAGTTGAAATAATGAACTGTCCCCCCACCCTTTTCTTTCACGTCCGCCTACACCTTCCTCTCCGTCCCCTTTAAACGGGGAGGTGCTCCGGCCGGTGCCCCCCCCCCCCCCCCCCCCGGCCCGGGGCTCTCCGGCAGGGGTAGAGAGTGAAGAGCACGGGCTGGCAGAGAGCGGACGCGTCGGAAACCTCCCCGGAGGGGCCCCTGTGTAATTCGATGCATGCTGTTAAAGCTTAGAGTATATTGTCTTCCCCTTCGCTTATGAAGCCTCCACCCACCGGCCCACCCTACATTTAGCGGATCATGTGACTCGGGGTAAGTCGTTTGCAAGTACAACAGTTCTCTGTGCGCTCCCATTCATTTCCTGAGAACTGCCTGAGCCGAGCAGCTGAGAGGCAGAAGGGGAGGGAGCTGCTCACTCACATGCACTCACACTCACTCACTCACTGTCACACACACACACACACACACACACGCCTACACGCCAAGCGGAGTGAGAGGAGAGAAGAGAGGAGAGGGAGAGGAGGAGAGGAGATAGAGAGGATTGTAGGAAGGGAAAAACAGTCTCCACCGGCTCTGCAGCTTCTGACAAGGTCTGTGCATTTCTTTTCCGTCCTGTTCCTCTGCTGCTTGGCTGTGTGCTGCGTTTGTCACGTCGGCTGGGCTTTGTGCTTGTTGTTCAGTGTGTCTCGGTCAGCTGTCATTTCCCTGTCAAAGCAGACGTGATAGCTCAGATCACCTATGGCATTGTGCTTGGTGTCTGTCAGTGTGTGTGGGGGTGGAGGAAACAAGAGACCCTGCATGGTGCTGGACTGGACCTGAAACACACATTTTTTCCCAGCGTAAATGCACAAGCTGTCATGACACAAAAGTGAATACACAGCATCCTGACTTTCTACAGTGCGGGCACACCCGGTTTCGAAACCCTAACACGTCTCACTTATTTTAGCTCGAGAGAAACTTCTGAACATGTCAGGCCGAGCAGTGTAGCAGCGGTGTAGAACGGTACTGACTGTGGTGGTGGTGGGGGGCTACAAGAGGAGTGCAGTGAGACGGCACCAAAATTCTCAACACTTCTCGCTGGGAAAATGAAAAAAAGAAAGAAAAGTTTGCTGCTTGTCAGAGTTCCGTGCATGCCTTGAGAGAGTTGTGTGTGTGTGTGCATTTGTGTGAAGCATTGTGGTGTGTGTGTGTGTGTGTGTGTGTGTGTGTGTGAGTGAGTGAGTGAAAGAGAGAGAGACCCAGGCTTGTTTGCCCACAGTTTCCTACTGTAGCACAATAGAGACAGAAACGAGGCTGTTAGCAACGGGTTAAACATTAGGAGGCTCGGGTAGCGGAGGAAGGACACTGGAGGGGGTGTGTGTGTGTGTGTGTGTGTGTGTGTGTGTGTGTGTGTGTGTGTGGGAGTGTTGCAGGGGTGGTGTCTTGGATGTCATCGGCAGCACTCTCACTTGCAGGGTAATAGTCATTGGTATTGATGGGTGGCTGTCAGAGAGGCAGGGGGGCCACCAGGTTGGGGAGAGTGGCCGGGGGCTGGCCCTTGGCTGTTATTTTCAATTACAGGGGACCAGGGCAGAGCTGACAGCAAAGGCATTTGTACATCCAGCACGGGGGGGGGGGGGGGAGACTCTGGCCTCTGCTCCTGGGTTTGATGTGGAAACTGAGCACTGACCTCTGTGACTTTACCCCCGCGTTGCGGAGAGGCCCAACCTTGCCTTTAACTGTGTGACAGAGGTGTGTTTGTGTGTATGTGTTTGTGTGCATTTAAGTGGGGGTCTCATCCACGCAAAAAAAAAAACGGAAAAAGGGGAAGGGGGTTTGGTCATGTGTGTGTGTGTGGAAGAGACCCCCTGCAGCTCACGGATGTTCAGCGAGTAAGATTAGAGCCCATTTAAACCCTCCATTAACAAAGGGCCCTTCTCCCTGTGCATGAATAACCAGGCTGATATTACCACACATGCGGAGAAGACTCCGTGAGCATGAGCGGCGAGGGAGAGTCGTATCGGAGCTCCGAAACGGACAGGGTGGTGTCACCTGAAAAAGTAGCATAATTCTGCGGGGTAATGGGATCGCGGTACTTACAACGAAAAGGTGAAATGCACTTTAATGTTAGTGCTGCGACATTGAACCAGGTGGCCGCTGTGTTGAGGTGTCACGGTCACAATTAGATAGTGTAGCTGCCACTAGTGGCGTTCTGTACTTGTACGAAAAAATCTTTAACACTTAGTCTTCCAAACTGAACTGACTCTAATGAACCACCATTGTCACTTAACGAATCAGTGGCTTTTTAGCAGTGGAGCTCCTCTCACTGCAGACTGTCAGCAGCCCAGTCGGGATGCACAGTATTATTTAAAGCATATCAAAAGACCACAAAAGCCATGGAAACAATCTTTATGTCATAACACACAAATAGAACATATATGAACATATGAACATATGAATATATGAACATAAACTCTTGAACCGTGGACTGTATATAAGAAGTGGACGAAGTCACCATGTCGACATTTTTATGGCAACCAAAATGTTATAATTAACCCTTATGAAATAAAAACACTGTGAAAGGGTTCAAGTTATAGGACAAAAACACAAACAACTCCCAGACCAGACAATGCTTTGGCAGCGACCTGCCAATCACAAAGTAGCCCCGCCCGCCCTAAAGCATACTTCGCTTTATGGTCTATTTGACTCTAAATGGACCATACCTTACTAAATGAACATCATGCTGTATTGAAGAAGACTTGAAACTATAGATTGAGACCATAAACTCATGTTTACAATGTTTACTGAGGTAATAAATCAAGAGAGAAGTAGACTTCACTTTCTCATAGACTTCAATACAATCAGACTTCTTTTTGCCCCCTGATGGCCATTAGAAAGAATGCAAGTTTAGCTTCACTTTTGTGATGTTTCAGAAGTTGCAGCCTTTTCCTGATGACTTTGGTGATGTTCTGACTTTTTTGCCTATCACGAGGCTCACGTTTGTGGTTTTAAGGGAAATGTCTCAACAGTTTTGTATTGAATGACATGAAACTGGGTAGGCTATAGACTTTGTACTTAATTAACAAAAATTAACTAATTAACAAATGCTAACACTCTAAACTGACATTATGAACACGGTGAACAAGATTCCAGCTAAACATCAGTGTGTTAGCATCGTCACTGCGAGCCTGCTATTGTGCTGGCGTTAGCATGTAGCTCAAAGTTCTCAAGAGAGAAGTAGTCATTTTCTCATAGAGTTCTATACAACCAGAGGAGTCGCCCCCTGATGGCCATTAGAGAGAATGCAGGTTTAAGTCACTTCTACATTGGCTTTACTTTTCAGACGTGGAGGTTGCCACCTTGCTTGAACTAGCAACAGACTGTATGTATCAGTGAGCTGAAAGCTGCAGCGGAATGAACTGTGATGGGTTCACTTACTGATACCTTTACTAAAATTCAGCTGAAGAATGATGTGATTGGTTAGCTTAGAGAAAAAGTCACTACGAATCTTTGAATGAACCGATTTGAGTCAGGGATTTGTAATTATTTCCACTTTTAGCTGCTGTCTTCTCACAGAATTTTCCGCAGAGTTGTTGTGTCCTTTTCAAATGTTTCCATTGGCATCTTTAGCAAAAAAAAAAAAACTGAATCACTTTGGCAATTTACTTTTTCTGTCTTGTCATTTTGAGTACACTTGGTCAATACTTCAAAACAAAAAAAGATTTTTGTCGATGCTCTCTAGAACAAAAACATGCATTTTTTTTATCTGACGCCCTGATTGGCATGACTATAGCAAGACAATCTTAACGCTATGATTCAGATTTGGTTAGGTTCTGACTTGGTTTGGAATTGGAGAAAGTTCTTGAGTATTAGCTGACTTCTTGTTGGGATGCAGCGATGTCGTTCGTCTGTTTGTTTGGCACTCTCCCAGCACTCAACTAGGTGCTTCACCTTGAGATGATGAAATAAGTTGGTTGTGTAGTCTTCTTTTGTTGTTAACGTCTGCTTGTTAATGCTGTACATACGCTTGTAAAAATCCAACTATAATGGTATTATCACAAACATTATGATGTGGTACCTAGTTGTTCCCCCCCCCCCCCCACAGCAGCAGCATCAAGCTGCTATACTGTCACTCTGACTCCTTCATTGAATCAACCCCCCACCTCCACCCCAGCCACGGTCCAAGAGCTTACGATAGAGATCGGTGCAGGTGGGGGGGACTCAATTAAAAAGCCAATCCCCCAACAGATAGACTCTATCTGTCCATCATCACCGCTGTGCCCGGCACACTTAATTGCACGGCGGGATTGCCCCCCACTAAATGCATCATCTGTCCGCCACAGATCACAAACGCACAAATTGGACTCGCGTCGACAGACGGAATCTTTCAGGAGGAAGCGCTGTGCTCTAGTATGTGCGGTCCGAGAACAGAACAAGTACGCTCACTGTCTCATCCGGGGAGATGTGACATTCCCGCTATCGCCCCCCCTAATCAGCTGGGTTAACCGCTGCCATATTGACCGACTGCTGTATCATTGATCCATGTGGGTGTTATGGAGTGTATCGCCATTGATTGTGGATAGACTGCAGTGCGATGTACAGCTGGACTCCTCATTCGGGGGTCTGTTATTTCACTATGTCAAGAAGATGACAAAATGTTCTCTCCCTCTGCTATCTCTCTTGTGGATTCAACCTTCGGCCCCGGTGTCCAGCCCACGTTTGTTGACCAAAATTTCAGTTAAGGTTGTACATGGAGTGCCGGAGTGTGTGTGTGTTTTGTGAGAGAGAGAGAGAGAGAGAGAGAGAGAGAGAGAGAGAGAGAGAGAG